GCTTTGTTTCACTTTTTATGAGTTCATTTCAGGTGTTGGATGGTAATGGGCAACAGTAGGTGCTATATTATTACCTCAGTCCATTACCTATATGTTTAAAAGGCTTTGAGGGGGTGAACAGCTTTACTGTGGGCTCAATGCTACTTGACATAAGTACTTGGGTAAAAGTCCAGAAGGCTTAGTGAAAAATGTTAGTTTCAGTTAGGAAAGACAGCTTTGAGGAATTAGAATTTTGAGAAGATATGTACCAAAGGAACTTTGCATTTGAGGATGGTAGTTGCAGGATTTCTATCCCAGTTGTATGCCTCTGAGACTTTGAAAGACTCCATGGTCTTTGTTGTTGTTTTTTCTGAGACAGGGTCTTGCTCTGTCACCAAGGCTGGAGTACAGTGGCGTGATCTCAGCTCACTGCAGCCTCAATCTCCTGTGCTCAATCGACATGCCCGTGTTGGCCTCCCAAAGTTCTGGGATTACAGGTGTGAGCCACCGTGTCTGGCCTTTTCTTCCCTCTCTGCTTACATTCTTAATTATTCTCTAACAGTAATGTCTAAATCTGCAAAGTTCTTTGGATAAAATGTATACAAAAGGCACAAGTGGATTTATAAAGTCAGTACTTCCATTCATGGCATTTCCTTGCGGTTATTTCAGTTGTCTGAATTGCCAAGAGATTCGAATACCACTTATGTTTTACAGGCCCCTCAATAGTAAAACAGGCAGCTATATTCTGTGCTTGGAGCTCAAATGAGAGGTGTAAATAAAAGAACCATTGGCTTTATATTCTTTTTTTTTTTTTCCATTTCTTGGTTCACCATAGATGTAGGAGAGGTTGGCACTATAAGAAGCGAAGAAAGAACAAGTGAATAAGTGCTATGGTTTGAGTGTGTTCTCCAGATTTCGTATGTTGGAAACTTAATTCCCAAATTTATATGTTGATTGGTGGTGGGGTCTTTGGGAGGTAATTAGGATTAGAAAAGGTCATGGTGAGATGGGATAATTCCCTTGATCCCGTTGCTGTACTTGTGACAGGGGTGTGGCTTGTTTACTTGGCTGCCGTGTGCCCAAACCCCTTGCATGAGGGAGCATGTGAGCAAGTGCGGGAATGAGAGCAAATGAATGCTGGAAGCAGCTGGTTGCTCCTCCCTGGCGGGAATAGGTTCTGTGTGGACCCCGCAGCAGCATCCAAGCATGTTACAGCCAGTGCTCTCTTTCAGCTCTCCTGTCCAGGGATGACCAAGTGCCAGCCAGCTCAGTCGAGGGTCAGAATGGCAGCCCCTGCCCTCTCGGCACCTGGGTTCTTGTCTGGCATCTGGGAAGAATCAGATCACATGAACAGATTGAAGGGTAGTATATGTGGAGGATTTTATTGGTCAATGAAAGTGGCTCTCAGCAGGATGGGGAGTTGGAAAGGGGATTGTGTGGGAAGAAGGTGATGTTTCCCTGAAGCCCAGCTGTCTCTGGCTGGGCCCCTCTCCAAAGCTGCACATCTGAAATTAGCTGCATCTATCCATAGTCTCTGATGCTCAGTTTCTTCTCTGCTTGCCAGTCAGCTGCTTGTATCCACAATGCTCAGCCCTTGTATCCCCATTGCTCAGCCGCTTGTATCCCTAACACTCAGCTGCTTGTGTTGCTCTGCCAGCTGAAGTGTTTTTTTTTTTTTTCAGGGCGGTGGAGGTGTGGGGGCTAAGGATGTGGCAGGACAAAAAGTCAACATTTGGGCAGAAAACCAGGTCAGCTGTTTTCACTTAGTGCTGTGGTTCCAGGCTTAAGGGTGGGGTTTAGCCAGAACCCAGCCCTTCTGTATCAATGTAGGGGTGAGCCATGATGGGACTGGTGGCTTTATAAGAAGACAAAGAGAGACCTGAGCTGCCATGCTTTTGACCTCTTCCCACGTGTGATACCCTCTGCCATAGTAGTAAGAAGGCCCTCAGCAGGTACGGCCCCTCAACCTTGGACTTTGCAGCTTCCAAAACTGTGAGCTAAATAGTCTCAGGTATTCAGTTACAGTAAAAGAAAATGAGGCTGGGCGCGGTGGCTCACGCCTGTAATCCCAGCACTTTGGGAGGCCAGGGCGGGCAGATCACAAGATCAGGAGATCGAGACCATCCTGGCTAACATGGTAAAACCCCGTCTCTACTAAAAATACAAAAAAAAAAAAAATTAGCTGGGCATGGTGGTGGGTGCGTTTAGTCCCAGCTACTTGGGATGCTGAGGCAGGAGAATGGCTTGAGCTTGCAGTGAGCCGAGATCGTGCCACTGCACTCTAGCCTGGGTGACAGAGCCAGCGAGACTCTGTCTCCAAAAAAAAAAAAAAAAAAAAGGACAACGACAACAAGCAACTTTTGTTTTTGTATTTCTTTTTTCTTTTTCTTTCTTTCTTTTTTTTTTTTTTTTGAGATGGAGTTTCGCTCTTGTTGCCCAGGCTGAAGTGCAATGGTGTGATCTTGGCTCACTGCAACTTCTGCCTCCCGGGTTCAAGCGATTCTCCTGCCTCAGCCTCCCAAGTAGCTGGGATTACAGGCATGTGCCACCACGCCCGGCAAATTTTTTGTATTTTTAGTAGAGATGGGGTTTCTCCATGTTGGTCAGGCTGGTCTCAAACTCCCAACCTCAGGTGATCTGCTCACCTCGGCCTCTCAAAGTGCTGGGATTACAGGCATGAGCCACCGCGCCTGGCCTTTCTTTTTTGGTATAATCCAAAATACCTAAATCCAGTTTAAGCATCCACAACTATATATGTTTAAATACAAAATTAATTTGAAATAGGGGTGTGTGTCTGGGGGTGGTGGGGGAATGTGAGAGGTAGTATAGAATGAAAAATAAATTCCAGTTATTAGTATCTCTTGAGTGGGACAGTTGGGACATCTGTCCTGGAAGGGCCGTGGGGATGGGTTTTCATAAAGAATGAACCATGGGATGTCCACAGGAAATGAATTTTGCGTCAGGCTTGAGGGAAAACTCATTTGAAGCCTTGAATGCTCCTCTAGAGTATCAAAATGAAGGAAGAAACTTGTAAGTAAAACTTATTTTTGTCTTTTGAAAGGCTTAATGAGTGGCCCTGTGTGATGGCTCATACCTGTAATCCCAGCACTTGGGGAGGCAGAGTCAGGAATATTGCCTGATCCCAGGAATTCAAGACCAGCCTGAGCAACACAGGGAGACCCTGCCTCAAAAAAAAAAAATTTTTTTTTTTTATAAAGGCTTAACAAGTTTAAGTTATGGAATGAAAAAAATTTCAATTAATTCAATGGTAGGCTGTCATGAAAACAAAACATTTCAATTAAGCAAGAAAGGGATGTGAAATTGAGAGGCAAACGAAAAGGAAAAGGGGCTAGTTAGTACAGCAGTCACTGGTTTATCTGTATAGAGAGGGAAAACTATTTTTCTCTCAACCCTCATTGGTTCTTTTCTTTTTTATTTAAATTGAGACAGGGTCTTGCTATGTTGTCCAGGCTGGTCTCATACCCCTAGGCTCAAGCAATCCTGCCTTGGCCTCCCAAATTGCTGAGATTACAGGCATGAGCTACTGTGCCTGGTCGCCTGATAAATTCTTAATTGGAATAGATTCCTGTAACAAAGGACAGATTAACAGGAGAAGAACAAGGTTATTTCCTGGAGCAGAGCATGGAAGATGTGGGTGTTCAGTGAACTTCCCGAGTGGCCAAAATGGTTGTATAAATAAGTTCTTTTAGTTTATATCAAGTCATACAGCTTCAGCTTATAGGGCTTTGGGACAAGAGAAGCTAGAGTCTCAATAAAGATCCCGGCAGTCAGGTTTTAGTTCCTAGTGACTTCAGGTCAGGAGGGTGGGAGAAAAATTGGAAACATTAATTACTGACAAGATACGCAAGACAGCAGGATCCAGTTTACAGAGTGGTGAAAAATAACTCAGAGACAAACAACAGAACTACAGTCTGATAACCCAGACTGGTTATAGTTTTCTATTGAAATGTAAAATTTCCGGCCTGATGTGGTGGCTAATGCCTATAATCCCAGCACTCTGGGAGGCTGAGGCGGGTGGATCACTTGAGGTTAGGAGTTAAAGACCAGCCTGGCCAACATGGCGAAACCCCCTCTCTACAAAAATACAAAAATTAGCTGGGCATGATGGCAGGTGCCCGTAATCCTAGCTACTCAGGAGGCTGAGGCAAGAGAATTGCTTGAACCTGGGAGGTGGAGGTTGCAGTGAGCCGACCGAGATCACACTGCTGCACTCCAGCCTGGGTGACAGAACAAGACTCTGTTTCAAAAAAAAAAAAAAAGGTAAAATTTCTCTGTACAGTCATCCTCAGTTTGATCAAAGATAAAAGTAAGACTACTCTTGTTTACAAAACAAGTGTAATCTTATTAAATTTGGTCTAATTATATAAGTGCAGCAAGAATGATAATTGAACATATGCTTGATCTTAGGTTATCGTTGTTTTTGTTTGTTTTTTTGAGACAGAGTCTCACTCTGTTGCCCAGGCTAGAGTGCAGTGGAGCTATCTCAGCTTACTGCAACTTCCTCCTCCAGAGTTCAAGCGATTCTCCCACCTCAGCCTATAGGTGCATACCACCACGCGTGGCTAATTTTTTGTATTTTAGTAGAGATGGGGTTTCACCATGTTGCCCAGGCTGGTCTCAAACTCCTGAGCTTAGGGGGATTCGCCGACCTTGGCCTCCCAAAGTACTGAGACACCATGCCCACAGCCCAGTTTTTTTTTTTTTTTAAATTTTCATTCCCATTTTACAGATGAGGGTTATCAGTTTGGATGCACCTATTAGCTTCTCTAGTAGGGTTCTGGAAATCCCTACTCAGTCCAGTGGTATGATTTCAAAGTTATGTAAGCAATGTGATGAGAAATCTCTACCCTAGAGTACCTATATAATTCTTTCCATGGGTCTCTGAGGCAGTCACTTATGTTGATTATGAAGCATTCCGGCTTGTAGCTGATTGTGAGCTTTCAGGGAAGCATTTGAATATAAGAGTAATTATATGTAAATGACAAAAGACCTACAATGGCCATGGTTAAAGCTTTTATTAGAGTTCATTATCAAAATAATGGAGTTGACAAAGAAATTTGGTTGTTTCTGTGCCATACAACATTTTAAGATAAAAACTGGAATTATGATTGATAACATTATATCAGAATATATTATGGACAGTGAGTGCGTTGACAAATTTCTAGAAACTTCATGTAGTTGTTTTAAAAAGCAGACAGGGTCTTGCCTTATTGTCCAGGATGGTCTTGAACTCCTGGGCTCAAGCGATCCTCCCGCCTTGGCTCCCAAAGTGCTGGGGTTTTAGGTGTGAGCCACCACACCTGGCCTTCCATACAGTGTTTGGAGTACTTATATTAATAACATTTTCTCATACAGATATGAACCCAAAATATGACATGGGGTCTTAGTCAATTTGGAAAGTTTATTTTGCCAGGGTTAAGGACCCGCCTATGACATAATCTCAGGAGGTCCTGATGACATATGCCCAGGGTAGTCTGAGTGTAGCTTGCTTTTATACAATTTAGGGAGACATATCAGTCAATATATGTAAGATTTACGTTGGTTTCATCTGGAAGGGTGGGACAACTCAAAGTGGGGGCTTCCAGGTCATACGTAGATTTAAACATACTCAGATTGGCAATTGGTTGAAAGATTTATTGTCAAAGAAAGGAATGTCTGGGTTAACATAAGGGGTTGTAGACACCAAGGCTTCGTCCTGCAGATGAAGGAAGCCTCCCGGTAGCAGACTTTATAGAAAATAGATTTTAAATGTTCCTTGTCAGACTTATAGTCTGCATTAATGTTAGTGCTGGAGGGGTATGATAATTACCCCCACTTCCCCTTCATGGCCTGAACCAGTCTTTCTGGTTAAATTTTAGAGTGCCCCGGCCAATGAGGGAGTGCATTCAAATGGTTGTGAGAGCCTTTAAATTTTCCCCCTTTTGACCAAGATTTGCCAGAGGCAACATCAGTGGCTACCAGATTTTAATTTTGTCCCACAGTGGGCACAGTGTTGCTGGGATGGCATGGCTGCCTGCCCCTGGTCTATCCTGTCCTTCCCTATGACCGAGAAACTTAGAGTGAACAAGACTTATGACCAATTAATTATTCTAAGCCAGATAGGAATAGACATGGACAGGCATTCATTACCCTTTAAAATTATTATTAATTTTGTTTTTTAAGTAGAAGGTCAACAAACAAAAAGCCAAAGGTGAGGTTACAAAACCGACTTATTTTTAACTTCTATACTATGCATTGAGCCATAGCTCAATCTTGTTTTTAGTTTTAGTATGTAATCTTGGTTTTAGTTACAGACTTATAGCAATTAGCTATACAAAACAAGCGTTGTTCTGAAAAAATTTAAAAAAATATGTATATCTGTACAACTCATACCCAGGAGGTTTTGTCGTAAGGTATCGTTATCCTGTCAGTAATTATTTTCTTCTTTTACCAGCTGTTCAGGCATCTTTGTACACATCCTTGATTTGGAGGGTCTGACCTTGACCTAATTGTATCCCTCAAAACTTGCCCTTACACTCTCATGTAACAGTCCCTGGGCCTAGAGGGAGGGTGCTTATATGGTCTTAGTAGTAAGGCATTTGCAGTGAAAAACAGATTGGGCCCAGTGGGATTGTTGCAGGTGGTTAGGCATGAGCTGGGCAGCAGAGAGAGCTCTCCTCTACCAACTAGAATATCGGGTAGATGGTTCAGCAATTATCGCATTGCCTGTCTAAAAATGATAATTCGGCAGCACCAGGGAGAGGCCATTTCCTGATGGTCCACACCTGTTAACATCATCAAACTGTTAATTGAATGCAGGCCCCACGGAGGAGCAACTTGGGCATGCATATTGAGACAAAAAAAAAAAAAAAAATTGGTGAGGTATGATCTTCCAGGGGGCACAGGAAAAGGGAAGGAAGCCTCAGATGGGTGTGCTTATAACTCCCTAAATACATTGCGTGTGTTCAGTTCCAAAGGATAAGGAAAGCACTGGGCAAGTGGAAAGCCCGCTCTAAAGGAAGAAACATGGGAAAAAGGCGAGCTTATAAAATTCCTAGGATCACGGTTGAACAGGGCACTTGACCTTTTCTCTTTAACCTTCATGTGCCCACTTGGGTCTCTTCCAAGCACACTTGCTTTCCTGTTCTAAGACCTTTTCAAATAAACTTCCATTCCTGCTCTGGAACTTGCCTTGGTCTCTTTTTCTGCTTTATGCCCCTCAGTCAGATTCTTTCTCGTGAAGAAGCAAGGACTCAAGTTGCTGTGGACCTGTACAGATTTGCCGCCGGTTAACTTGGATCTCTTCCACTGGTTAACAGGATGCCAAATGAGAGAGGTTGGCATCTCTGGTTTTGAGAATACCATAATTTTGGTTTCCTTTTAAGTAATGAGAAATAAGTAACATTAATATTGTGACAATCAAAAGAGTATTTGTATGTCAGAACAGAAAAGGGAACCTCTTTCATTAGGGCACCAACTAAAGATATGAAGAAAATTATAATCTGGTACTCTCTAGAGGATTATTGTGTCCAAGAAATAATTCATAATTCAGTCTACACTCAAAAAAACAAAAGTTAGTGTCAAGTGTTATACTTTTCCTTTGAAACAGTTTCTCTCTCTAGACTTCCTTTTCTATTAAAGAGAAATTATAGTAAGATCAATTTGTATGCAAATTAAGTTTTAGGCTTATTATACTTTGCCTGATTATTCACATAAAGTGCAGCAAGAATTGATTGGCTTGGCTGGGCGCGGTGGCTCAAGCCTGTAATCCCAGCACTTTGGGAGGCCGAAGAGGGCAGATCCCAAGGTCAGGAGATCGAGACCACCCTGGCTAACACGGTGAAACCACGTCTCTACTAAAAATACAAAAAAAAAAAAAAAAATTAGCCGGGCGTGGTGGTGGGCGCCTGTGGTCCCAGCTACTCGGGAGGCTGAGGCAGGAGAATGGCGTGAACCCAGGAGGCGGAGCTTGCAGTGAGCGGATATTGCGCCACTGCGTTCCAGTCTGGGTGACAGAGCAAGACTCCATCTCAAAAAAAAAAAAAAGAATTGATTGGCTATATAGGCTCCTTTCAAGTTGACTTTGCTGAACTTTACCTAAAAATATACTATTTTAGTCAAAGTCTTGGTAAAATAACCAGTGTCTCCAATTGTTTTGTTCTAAAAGACTCTTACTGAACTTATGCAAATAACTATATTTTCATAAAATCACAATTTGAATTTTGGATAACTCAGAGAGAAAGGTAAATTTGCTTACAAAAACATATTTCACCCAAATGGTCTAAACTATAAATAACTATAAAAAATTTTTTTGGACCGTTCTTTAACCAGAGCAGCAGCCTTCCAAACAAGATGTTTGTTCAACTCGGAACTGCCATTCACAAGCCAAACAGGTCATGGGAGCTATCAGGTACTGTAGAATCTAGCAGCTCCTCAGATAGCTAGAATCAGTACTAGGGACAAAAAGAGGGTCCTTGCTTGTGAGTATCTCCTTCTTGTATTCCCAGGTAGCAAGAGCCTGTGTAAACCATTTTAATTTTATCATGGAAGTCTTTTGAACACCTTTATTTCCATTAGCATAGGGGTAGCTCCAGCCAACATTCCGTAACAAGGCAGTAAATGTCCCTCAAGTAGAAATTCTCTAGTCCAGCAGTTGTTATTGGGGAAGTACTCACAGTTTTTTGTCATAAGTCCCAATAAATGCTCCACAAAAGGCTACAAAGTGGAGGATTTGTCCTGTCTAGTACTCCATCCTCCCCTATATTTTGTGGGCTAAGGCAATCTTTCTAGTTCCCATTTAGTAAGTTCAGTTAATATTTGTCAATAAGCAGATTTACCTGCCTTCAGTTTTATAGTACTAGATAGGGAAAACATCCCCCAGTCACATACAGTACCCATTTTCATAAGACATTTAGGTAAAAGGAGTCACAACTACCTTACATAAAGTCTATTTAAACATCTCAGATTTCTTAATTCTGTAAACCTGTATGATTTTATGTTCTGGTCCCGGGAACTTTTCTACCCCCAGACCATTTTACCTTTTCTGATAAAAAAAAAAAAAGGGGGGGGGGGTTTGGGTTCCCAGCAGGGAGTTGAGCCAAGGGACTCAGGCCTTTTTGTCAACTTTTTATCTTAATTTGCCTCAGCATTGCCCCAGACAATGTCAGCTTTCTCATGATAATCTTTGCCTTCTGATTTTTTAAAAAACATTTTCCAATCTAGGGCAAATAGTGAATAAGCATCCAAAAATTTCTATCACTTTTCTGGGGTGAATTCTTTGACTCCCTTTTTCCTTTCCCATTTTTTTTTTTGTTAACGACCCCCATTTTTTGGGTTTTTTTTTTTGAGATGGCGTCTCACCCAGGCTGGAGTGTGGTGGCGTGATCTCTGCTCACTGCAACCTCTGACTCCCGGGTTCAAGCGATACTCCTGCCTCAGCCTCTTGAGTAGCTGGGATTACAGGCACTCGCCACCATGCCTGGCTAATTTTTGTATTTTTAGTAGAGACGGGGTTTCTCCATGTTGGCCAGGCTGGTCTTGAGCTCCTGACCTTAGGTGATCCACCTGCCTCAGCCTCCCAAAGTGCTGGGATTACAGGCATAAGCCACCTTGCCTGGCCATGAGGTATAAGCATGCGTAAGACCATGAGGGACAGCAAATTTGATAAGGCCTCTCAAGCAGTCATATGATTCTGTGGGAAGGGTACCCATGTAAAAGGGGCCCTGTTAACCTCCAGATTTACCATGACCTGCGTTATGGACATATTAGGTAGGAGAGTATCCCGGTCATTATAAAGCCAGTCCTATGTGGCTTGCATATGAAGCATATCAACTGTTTCATCTGTGGTACTCCACTTGGTATTTTATAGGGGGAGGCAGGAAGTCCCCTTCTCGGGGCAAACCTTACAGTGGCATTTATTTGGTCCACTAGGCTGGTTGTTCTCTCAGGAATAACTTCCTGTGCATTTGGATCACATACATTCATCAGTGATTGTTTAATAGTGAGCTGTGGGTCCTGCATTAACCCAAACAAGCTCTTTCATTCTGTAGCATTTAAAATTAAGGATTTTGTCCTTAAAATGGTCATTTTTACAGTCCATTATTATAAAAGTTTCTCCAGAAGCTGATGATACCAATCTATGAAACAGAACAGTTCCTTTACATTAAACCCTCTGGTTTTAATAGCTACTTGGTTTTGCCCTTCCCCAATATTGACTATCTTCTTGGTAACCACAGGCCTCAGAGGTAACTTTATTTGCCCTGGCATACTTTTTCTTTTTATCCATTTAGTTTTATTTGTACAATTTTTCCTTTATTTTAAAGTGACGCTTAAATAGTCTCTTAACTAGGGAAAAACTTACATTTTCTTTAGCAAAAAAACACATCCTTGTATGTGTTTGTTTATTTATTGTTGAGACAGTCTTGCTCTGTCACCCAGGCTGGAGTGCAGTGGCATAATCTCGGCTCACTGCAACCTCTGTCTCTCAGGTTCAAGCAGCTGGCCTCAGCCTCCTGAGTAGCTGGGATTACAGGCATGCGCCACCATGCCCAGCTAATTTTTGCATTTTTAGTAGAGATGGGGTTTCACCATGTTGTCCAGGCTGGTCTCGAACTCCTGACCTCAGGGGAACCACCCACCTCGGCCTCCCAAAGTGCTGGGATTACAGGCATGAGCCACCATGCCTGGCTGTTTGTTTGTTTATTTTTGAGACAGAGTCTTTCTGTCACCCAGGCTGGAGTGCAGTGACACTTGTGATCTGCCTGCTTCGGCCTCCCAAACTGCTGGGATGACAGGGGTGAGCCACTGTGCCTGGCCTTTTTTTTTTTTTAATGAAGTCTCACTCTGTTGCCCAGGCTGAAGGGCAGTGGCGTGATCTTGGCTCATTGCAACCTCCACCTCCCAGTGGATTCTCGTGCCTCAGCCTCCCAAGTAGCTGGGATTACAGGCATACATCATCACGCTCGGCTAACTTTTGTATTTTTAGTAGAGGTGGGGTTTCACCATGTTGGCCAGACTGGTCTTGAACTTCTGACCTCAAGTGATCTGCCCGCCTCGGCCTCCCAAAGTGCTGGGATTACAGGCAGGAGTCACTGTGTCCGGCTGTTAATTTATGAGTACTCTTTATCTTTAAGCCAATCTGGTACCTTGTGGCCAAAAACACATAACAAAGTATGTGTACATACACCTAAACACATATATATACACTCATACAAAGTTCTTGTAGTTTATGCTTCAGAACTCTAGCCATGAGATATTAATAGAGACTTACCAGTTTGCAAACAATAGCAAAAAGAGATGGTTGGATGCAAACAGTGGATTTTATCTCAGTGGAAAAGTAACAGCAGACTTAAACCAGGCTGAAAAAAAAGCAGAGAGATAGAGAACTTAGGAACTTTATAGTTGCAGATTGACCTTCGGGCTCTGCATTTTTCTTGATGTAATTTGCTCATCAGTTTAAAATGTGCACAAGAACAGACCTCTAATGTGTAACCAGCTGCAGTATTAGAAAACGTGGCATGCTCTTCCATTACACAACCACTTTCAAGTAGAGGGGTCATAAAACCAAACAGGGTGCCTGAGAGAGGCCACTCTCCTTGTGTTTTTTCATTCCTAGAATATTTGTTTCCCACATTTTTTCTGAAAAGGAGGAACTGAGCTGTGCCTTAAGGTTTAGTGGAGTGGGTCAAAGTGTGCAGGTTGTGGGTGGGACTCCATAGTGTGTCACCAATGAGTCATTTCTGCCCTTTTATGTGTCTCAGTTTCTCTTTCTAGACATCCAGCAACACCAGGAGGGCTCAAAGTGAGGAATGAGGCTGGGTGCAGTGGCCGACACCTGTAATCCCAAACTGGGAGTCCGAGGCAGGTGGATCACTTGAGGTAGCAGTTCGAGACCAACCTGGCCAATATGGTGAAACCCCATCTCTACTAAAAATACAAAAATTAGCCAGGTATGGTGGCACGCATCTGTAATCCCAGCTACTCAGGAGGCTGGGACACAGGAATTGCTTGAACTCGGGAGTCAGAGCTTGCAGTGGGCGGAGATCCTGCCATTGTGCTCCAGCCTGGGCATCTCAGCAAGACTCCGTTTCAAAAAAAAAAAAAAAAGCAGTGACCAGCTCCTGTATGTACGTCCTGGATAAGAATTTTTTTAAACTAATTTTCTTGGGAGTTCCCTGTAGGGCTGCTGCACGTTGTAGGGGGTCAACCCTGCAGACACTTCCACTTGGTCCCCAGTCACCCAGGGTTGCCTTTTGGTTGGAAGGAGCAAAATGCCCTTTCTTTTTGGAGTTGAGGAAACTCAGCCTGTCATCTATGAAAATGACAGTTCAGTTCCTCACAGAAACGTGCACACAAGCCAATCGAGATTAATTTCAGGAGGAAAGGCAACGAGAAGACTCTTTAGAATGCACCCCTGGGCCAGGTGTGGTGGCTTATGCCTGGAATCCTAGCACTTTGGGAGGCCAAGGCAGGTGGATCACTTGAGCTCAGGAGTTCAAGACCAGCCTGGCCAACATAGCAAGACCCCTGTCTCTACAAAAAGTACAAAAATTAGCTGGGTATGGTGGCACACATCTGTAGTCCCAACTACTCTGGAGACTGAAGAGGAGGATCTCTGGAGCCTGGGAAGTTGAGGCTGCAGTGAGCCATAATGGTGCCAGAGGACTCCAGCCTGGGTAACAGAGCAAGACTCTGTCTCAAAATCATAATAACAACAACAATAGTAATGATAATAATAATAAGAATGCACCTCTGAACTAGAATTAGGATCCTAGACAACAACTTCCTGGGAGCTCAGCTAAACCAGCTAAGACCACTTCATGTAAACCATTTTCAACCACTCTTAACTTTGTAGCTCTCATCTGCCATTACACATGCCAAAGCCAAATCCTCTCATGGTACAAGGTAATTTCTGGTATCTTCAAAAGTCAAAGAATCAGGTAGTGCAATACAGGAAAGCAGAACCATAGACCTAAAAGCGTCTGCCCATTACTCTTGAAAACTCCATAAAGAAAACACGACATCCCAAAAAGCGGCAAGTGTTGCCTTTGTTCTGACTTCTTTAAGGGGTTCGGGTTAATAGAAGGCTTCTCTAGATTTTTTTTTGGTAGCAAAGATGGGGAAGGGGAAGGGGAAGGAGGAGTAAGGTGGAAGAAAAGACAGGAAGCAAAGACAGAAACCACGTGCATGGTTTTGTTTTGCTTTTCCTTTTTGCTGCTGCAAGGAGTTTTAGCCAATTCAGATGTCTTGTTCCCCATAATTGGAATTCTCATTCAGATCTGGCCAAGTTGGTTAGAGTTGGAGCTAGTCAAACCCGATGGGAGAAAGACCAGAACAACAAAAACCCATCAATATGATTACTGAGTGCTCTAATGGCAAGGCAAAATTAAGACCAGCTGATTGTTAATTGTAACTTTAGCCAAAGAAAGCCCAATTGACCTACTTACCTAGGAATGGGTCTCAGGTGGAAGACTGCTCTCTACTATCCCAGAAGCAGGAAAAAACTCAAACTCCAGAAAGGAGTTAGCTGCTGTCACGCGCGTCCGTGTGAAGAGACCACCAAACAGGCTTTGTATGAGCAACATGGCTGTTTATTTCACCTGGGTGCAGGTGGGCTGAGTCCGAAAAGAGAATCAGCAAAGGGAGATAAGTGTGGGGCCGTTTTATAGGATTTGGGTAGGTAAAGGAAAATTACAGTCAAAAGGGGCGTTGTTCTCTGGCGGGCAGGAGTGGGGGTTACAGGGTGCTCAGTGGGGAAGCTTTTTGAGCCAGGATGAGCCAGGAAGAGGAATTTCACAAGATAATATCATCACTTAAGGCAAGGACCGGCCATTTTCACTTCTTTTGTGGTGGAATGTCATCGGTTAAGGCGAGGCAGAGCATTTGCACTTCTTTTGTGATTCTTCAGTTACTTCAGGCCATCTGGGCATAAACGTGCAAGTCACAGGGGATGTGAAGGCTTGGCTTGGGCTCAGAGGCCTGACATTCCTGCCTTCTTGTATTAATAAGAAAAATAAAACAAAATAGTGTGAAGTGTTGGGGCGGCGAAAATTTTTTTGGGGGTGCTATGGAGAGAGAATGGGCGATGTTTCTCAGGGCTTCTTCAAGCGGGATTAGGGGCGGCGTGGGAACCTAGAGTGGAAGAGATTAAACTGAAGGAAGATTTTTGTGGTAGGGGGTGATACTGTGGGGTCATTAGAAGAAACATTTGTCATATAGAATGCTTGGTGACGGCCTGGATGCGGTTTTGTATGAATTGAAAAACTAAATGGAAGACACAAGGTAAGAGAAGGAGAAAGAACAGGTATTGAAGGACTAAGAATTGGGAGGACCTAGGACATCTAATTAGAGAGTGCCCAAGGAGGTTCAGCATAGCCTTGCCAGCAAAGATCATTTATTTACTTTAAGAGGAAATTTAGAGTGGCGGTTTGGGATAGCACTAGGAGATACCAACTGTGATGGCTTGGAGAAACAGTGTAAACCGGCAGTGTAAACATGAGCAGGGCATTTATGAGTAGTTGAGAACGGTGAATAGGAGGAGTAAGACTAGACAGAATACAGTAGGAATGAAAGTTTTTTGGGGTGCAGTCTAAGTTGGTCTGGTGTCTGGAATGAGACTGGGACCTAATGAAAAGGAGTGTCCACACAGGAGCTCAAATGGGCTGGAACCTGTAGCATTCCGAGGACAGGCCTGAATTCTGAGAAAGGAAAGTGGTAAAAGTATTGTCTAGTCCTTTTTAAGTTGGTGACTGAGCTTGGTGAGGTGTGTTTTTAAAAGACCATTAGTCCATTCTACCTTTCCTGAAGATTGAGGACGGTAAAGGATATAAAGGTTTCACTGAATACCAAGAGCCTGAGAAACTGCTTGGGTCATTTGACTATTAAAGGCTGGTCTGTTATCAGACTGTATAGAGGTAGGGAAGGCCAAACCGAGGAATTGTGTCTGAAATGACCGCGGTGGCCTTCTCAGACCCTGTGGGAAAGGCCTCTATCCATCCAAAGTGTCTACCCAGACTAAGAGATATTTTAGTTTTCTGACTCAGGGCATGTGAGTAAAGTCAATTTGCTAGTCCTGGGCAGGGGCAAATCCTCGAGCTTGATGTGTAGGAAAGGGAGGGGGCCTGAACAATCCCTGAGGGGCAGTAGAATAGCAGATGGAACACTGAGAAATGATCTCCTTGAGGATAGATTTCTAGGATGGAAAGGAAATGAGAGGTTCTAAGAGGCAGGCTAGCGGCTTGTAACCTACATGGAAGAGGTTATGAAATGACGACAGAACAGAATGGGCCTGTGAGGCTGGAAGGAGATAATTTCATTGGTCTAAGAACTATTTGCCTTGTGTGTGAAGAGATTGATAGGTGGAAGTTTCAGCGGGGAGTAGGTGGGAGTGGCCGATGTGGAGGAGGAAAACTGCCCTGAGGGATAATGCTAGCTGCTTTTTTAGCTAACTTATCAGCATAAGCATTGTCCTGAGCGATGGGATCTGATGCCTTTTGATGGCTGCTTTTTTAGCTACCTTATCAGCATAAGCGTTATCTTGAGCAAAGGTTGGGGGAAGAAAAATAGATTTTGGAAGTTATGAGAACTGTAGAGAGTTGAGCATAGTTTGTGATTTTTAGGGCCTCTAACAGTATTAAAGCGGTGGCAGCCGCTGCACGCAGACATGAGGGCTAGGCTAAAACAGTAAGGTCAAGTTGTTTGAACAGAAAGGCTACAGGATGTGGTCCTGGCTCTTGTGTAATAAGTCCGATCGCACTAACCATGCCTAGCAAGGAAAGGAGTTGTTGTTTTTTAGAAGGGATTGGGGTTTGGGAGATTAGCTGGACACGATCAGCAGGGATAGTGTGTATTTATGAGAATTATGCCGAGATAGGTAACAGATGAGGAAGAAATTTGGGCTTAACTGAAGTGATGGGAGCGGTCTGTGAAGCCTTGCAGCAGCAGTACAGCCTAGGTAATTTGCTAAGCCTGATGGGTGTCAGGGTCAGTCTAAGTGAAAGCGAAGAGAGGCTGGGGTGAAGGGTGTAGAGGAATAGTAACGAAAGTATGTTTGAGATCCAGAACAGAATACTGGGTTGTGGAGGGAGGTATTGAGAATAGGAGAGTATATGGGTTTGGTGCTACGGGGTGGATAGGCAAGACAATTTGGTTGACAAGGTACAGATCCTGAACTAACTTGCAAGTCTTGTCTGGTTTTAGGACAGGTAAAATGGGGGCATTGTAAGGGGAGTTTACAGGGTTTAAAAGGCCATACTGTAGCAGGCGAATGATAACAGGCTTTAATCCTTTTAAAGCGTGCTGCGGGATGGGATATTGGCATTGAATGGGGTAAGGGTAATTGGGTTTAATGAGATGGTAAGGGGTGACTGATCAGTCGCCAAGGAGAGGCATCCTATACTCGTGGGTTAAGGTGGGGGATACAAGAGGAGGATGAGAAGGAGGCTTTGAACTGGGGGAAAAGGCAGCAATGAGGTGTGGCTGTAGCCTAGGAATAGTCAGGGAAGCAGATAATTTAAAATGTCTCGACCTAATAAGGGAGCTGGGCAGGTGGGGATAACTAAAAAGGAATGCATAAAAGAATGTTGTCCAAGTTGGCACCAGAGTTGGGGAGTTTTACGAGGTTTAGAAGCCTGGCCGTCAATACCCACATTTATGGAGGCAAGGGAAACAGGCCCTTGAAAAGAAGGTGATGTGGCGTGGGTAGCCTCTGTATTGATTAAGAAGGGGACGGACTTACCCCTCACCGTAAGAGTTACCCAAAGTGTCTGTGATGGTCCAGGAGGCTTCTGAGGTGATGGGGCAGCATCAGTCTTCAGCTGCTAAGCTGAGAAGATCTGGGAAGGAGTCAGAGAGCCTTGGGCCAGAGTTCCAGGGGCTCCGGGAGCGGCTGCTGGGCGAGTTGGACAGCCCGATTTCCAGTGGGGTCCCTCTCAGATGGGACACGGCTTAGGAGGAATCCCAGGCTGCGGGCATTCCTTGGCCCAGTGGCCAGCTTTCCAGCACTTGTAGCAAGCTCCTTGGGGAGGAGGTTCTGGAGGAACTCCTGGCAGCTGCGGTTAAGGCGTTTGGAGTTGTGTGTTGGAGATGTGGGTGGGGTTTGTCTCACAGTGGAGGCAAGGAATTGCAACTCAGAAATAAGTTGCTACTTGGCTGCCTCTACTCTATTATTGTACACCTTGAAGGCGAGGTGCATTAAGTCCTGTTATGGGGTTTGAGGGCCGGAATTTAATTTTTGGAGCTTTATTTAATGTTGGGAGCAGATTGGGTAATAAAATAAAATGTATATTAAGAATAAGATGGCCTTCTGACCTTTCAGGGTCTGGGGCTGAAAAGCGTCTCAGGGTTGCTGCTAAATAGGCCATTAACTGGGCTAAGTTTTTTATATTTGATGAAAAAGAGCCTAAACGCTAACTGATTTGGAAGAGGTCAGATTAAAAAAAAGGAACATTAACCTTGACTATGCCTTTAGCTCTAGCCACTTTTTTAAGAGGAAATTTCTGGGCAGGTAGGGGAGGGCTAGTCATGGAACGAAACTGTAAGCCAGACCGGGTGTGAGGAGGGGAGGTGATAAAAGGACTATATGGTGGGGGAGCAGAGGCTGAGGAAAAATTGGGACCTAGCTCGGCCTGGCGAGGAGGGGAGAGGTCAGATGAAAGGAAGATTAGAAGGACTCAGCGTCACTTGGGATTGGGGCTGAGGGGACAGGCGGGAGGTAAAGAAGGAAGATTTCGGACAAGTTGCATTGGGAACAGAGACTAGGGAGGGACCGATGTGTAAAAGAATGTCTGGACGTCAGGCAACTCAGACCGTTTGCCCACTTTACGACAAGAATTATTTAGCTCTTGTAGGATGGAAAAAATCGAAAGTGCTGTTTTCTGGCTATTTGGAACTACTGTCGAGTTTGTATTGGGGTTAAGCGGTATTATACAAGAAAATAAGGCATTTAGGTTTTAGGTCAGGTGTGAGTTGAAGAGGTTTTAGGTTCTTGAGAACACAGGCTAAGGGAGGAGGAGGAATGGAGGGTGGAAGGTTGCCCGTAGTGAAGGAGGCAAGCCCAGAGAAAACAGAGAGTAGAGATACAGGGAGAAGGAGTTCGGGGGTTCTTGCCCTCCAGAAAAGCGAGAAAGGGGTCGGGGTGCGGAACTAAGGTATTGGGGTGCAAAAATAAGATATCGGGGCACAAAAATAAGGTCAGGGCGCAAAAATAAGAGGTCGGGTTTCTTGCCCCTACCCCAGAAAAGCAGAGAAGGGGTAGAGACAGGGAGGGTAGGGGTTGGGGTGCTTGCCCCTCCCCCAGAAAAGCGGGCCTTGCCGCTTAGGGTGAAGGACCAAGGCAGGCGTCCCCGCAGCGTGGTCAGACACCCCTGAAACGTGGGTGAGTAATCAGAGAGGCGTCCCTGCAATGATTAAACACCAAGGGAAGGCTGCCTTCCCCAGTCCGTGACTGGCGCCGGCGTTTTGGGTTCCACGGATAAAATGTGTCTCCTTTGTCTCTACCAGAAAATGAAAGGAATTGAAATTAAAGAAGGGAGAGATTGAAGGGTGGTGCCAAGATTGAAAGGAGAAAGAGGTTGAGAGATAGTGAGAGAGGTTGGAGAAGAGAGTAAAAATGGGGCCGCTTACCCGATTTAAAATTGGTGAGATGTTCCTTGGGCTGGTTGGTCTGAGGACTAGAGGTCATAGGTGGATCTTTCTCACGGAGCAAAGAGCAGGAGGACAGGGGATTGATCTCCCAAGGGAGGTCCCCTGATCCGAGTCACGGCACCAAAACGTCATAAGCGTCCATGTGAAGAGACCACCAAATAGGCTTTGTGTGAGCAACATGGCTGTTTATTTCACCTGGGTGCAGGTGGGCTGAGTCCGAAAAGAGAATCAGCAAAGGGAGATAAGTGTGGGGCCGTTTTATAGGATTTGGGTAGGTAAAGGAAAATTACAGTCAAAAGGGGCGTTGTTCTCTGGCGGGCAGGAGTGGGGGTTACATGGTGCTCAGTGGGGGAGCTTTTTGAGCCAGGAAGAGGAATTTCACAAGTTAATATCATCACTTAAGGCAAGGACCGGCCATTTTCACTTCTTTTGTGGTGGAATGTCATCGGTTAAGGCGAGGCAGAGCATTTGCACTTCTTTTGTGATTCTTCAGTTACTTCAGGCCATCTGGGCATATACGTGCAAGTCATAGGGGATGCAATGGCTTGGCTTGGGCTCAGAGGCCTGACAACTGCCTTCCATCATTATGGAAGCAGGAGAACTTGCCTTCCTTGTTGGAGCAAGTAAAATTTCAGAAAAAGGAGTTGTATAACAAAATAAACTTTAGATCTTGACCAAATTTTGGGAGATCAGGGATTCTCTGGCGTGGGGCCTCCCAGGCCTCAGCCAATTATCCTTTTGGTTTGAGCAGTAAAGATAGCTCAAGCTGGTACCAAGCATAAATAGGCGATTTGTCAAAGGTCAGGGGGCACTTCCACTCAGAAGCCCTTTCAGGTTGCCAAATGTGAACCCAAAATATCTGAGACAGGTTTCAGTGAATTTAGAAAGTTTATTTTGCCAGGGTTAAGGACGCAGCCACGACATAGCCTCGGGAGGTCCTGATGATATGTTCCCAGGGTGGTGAGGATACAGCTTGCTTTCGTACAATTTAGAGAGACATAATACATCAATCAATATATATAAGATTTACATTGGTTTGATGTGGAAGGGTCAGACAACTCAAAGTGGGGGCTTCCAGGTCATAGGCAGATTTAAACACATTCTCATTGCCAGTTGGTTGACTGTCAGTAGAAAGGAATGTCTGGGTTAAGATAAGGGGTTGTGGAGACCAAGGTTTTATCCTGCAAATGAAGCCTCCAGGTAGCCGGTTTTAGAGAAAATAGATTGTAAAGGTTTCTTATCAGACTTAAGGTCTGCATTAATGTTGCTGCTGGAAGGGTGTGATGAGGCATGTCCTACCCCTACTTCCCTTCATGGCCTGAACCAGTCTTTCTGGTTAAATTTTAGAGTGCCTTGACCAAGGAAGGAGTGCAGTCAGATGGTTGTGGGAGCCTCTGAATTTTATTTTTGGTTCACACAGATATAACTTAGAGAAGGTTAAGCATCACTTCTACAATGTTTCCCATGCAATTTAACGTATCAAATAAACCTAATTTAAAAAATTAATCAGAGATAAGTTCAGGAAAACCTAGTTATTTTTAACATCTCTCTTTTTAAAAGATGAAAAAACAAACGCTTTGAGATTTTCCAGGGGCCGTTTGGAAAAATCTCAAGTTTGAGATTTTCCAGGGGCCCTTTGGAAAAATCTCAAGTTTGAGATCAAGATTTTATTTAGGATTTGATTTTGAGAAGGCAAAATGTCAAAAGGTTCGAACGTTTGATTAAATAGGGTCCCAGGTCACATTTTTAAAAGAAGACTTGGTTCTCTTAAATAGGGATATAATAAAGCACTGGAAATTATTCCAATAAGACACAGAATCTTTGTTTCCTAGGCAGATTACTTAAAAAGTAAAGAAAAATCTTTTACACAATCTCTCATAAAGAGCAGATTAGTAGTCCAAGAAATTTAGTCCCTTGAGAGAGAAAATTGAACTCTAGTTTTACATCAATACACTATTGATATTAAAGCTTTAATTTTAAAACCTCATAAATAAACCCATTCAGGCTTAGCCAGCTCGACCATATAAAATATGGTTTTTTTCTTTTGTTTTTTTGTTCCACATTTCCTTTACGACTTCATATATTCCTTCAGGTTTTTGTCCTTTCCTCTTTCACATTCTGGAACAACCTTTCAACACCTCTTAAACAACTACAAAAACTTATTTTGCATTCCTTGGGTACTTTTAATAGAGTTGTTTTCCTTCACGGTTATTGCTTCTAGTAGTTTTGTTTACATATATACATTATTTTTAACAATCTTTATTTTACAGGGAAATCTAGGCAGTAGTCATGAATTGTCTGTAATATACCAGCATTTTTTTTTAGCAGATTAGTAAATTTTATGAATATAGCATTTCACATGTTCTAGAAATATAAACTTTTTCATAATAAAACTTCTCAATGTGGTCAAAAGTAGATGTTTACTAAGAGACCCAAATATCTTTAGTTTCTCTATAAAAATAAGTAGCTAAAAGCATGTATAATTTAAACATGGTTAGTAACTGTGTTACTGGGGGTCCTTGCTCCCAGAGCTCCCAAGATGGTGGGGGGCCACTTCCACAATGGCGGCAGGCCGCTTTCAAGATGGTGGCAAGCCTCATGTTCTCTTGACCAGGGAATGGAATCTTGGGCCATGCGGTGAGTGTTATAGCTCTATTAGAAGCCGTGGGTCACAGAAGAGAACCGTGGAACCTAGTGACTAGTGTTCAGCTCGATTAGCATGAACCCAGGCACTTAGCCCTGCAGGAACAATGGCAAACCTTTAGCCTGATGGGGAGTGGCAGTGGGCGCCTCGCTTGACCAGGAGCACAGTGGACACCCTGCCGGATCCAGAGGGCTGGAAGTCAGCCGCGGGTCTGTGCCAGCGGCAAACAGCAGTGGTGAACTGCGAGCGAGAGCTCAGCTCGACCAGGAGAGCGTGCAGTTGTAAGATTTAATAGAGTGAAAACAGAGCTCCCATACAAAGGTAGGGGACCCAAAGAAGGTAGCGGTTTGGTATGCCTGGGTTTATATCCCGATCATTGTCCCTCCTGCTGTGCTCTCAGGCAATAGATGATTGGTTATTTCTTTACCTCCTGTTATTTTAGTGAGCTCTCTTTCCTACCTGATTGGTCAGGTGTTAGCTAAGCCGTAAGCCCCGTGTTTAAAGGTGGATGCGGTCACCTTCCCAGCTAGACTTAGGGATTCTTAGCCTAGGAAATCCAGCTAGTCCTGCCTCTCAACTGTTTCAGCATTTTATTTTACTTAGAACAATGTATATATTCAATGAATACCTGTCACTTAGTATAACTTAAGGTTTCAAATTACCAAACAGATTTTGGAAAGACTTTCATTTATTTTTATTTTTTGAACAACCTTTGAGCAAATAATTTTTTCTTTTAAAAATTTTGTACTTTTAGGCCGGGTGCGGTGGCTCACGCCTGTAATCCCAGCACTTTGGGAGGCCGAGGTGGGCAGATCACCTGAGTGTCAGGAGTTTGAGACCAGCCTGGCCAACATGGTGAAACCCCGTCTCTACTAAAAATTCAAAAATTAGCCGGGTGTGGTGGCGGGCGCTTGTAATCCCAGCTACTCAGGAGGCTGAGGCAGTAGAATTGCTTGAACGCAGGAGGCAGAGGTCGCAATGAGCCAAGATGGTGCCACTGCACTCCAGCATGGGCGACAGAGTGAGACTTTGTCTCAAAAAACAGCAAACAAACAAAAAAAATTTTTTTTGTACTTTTTTTTTTTTTTTGGAGATGGGGTGCTGTATGTTGCCCAGGCTGTTCTCAAAATTCCTGGGCTCAGGCATTCCTCCCGCCTCAGCCTCCTGAGGTAGCTGGGCTTATAGGCATGCACCAGGGCTCATCTTATTTCTACTTTTAAGACTTATGAAACACAATTATTGTTGAAATAGTTTGTCAGAACAGACTCAATTTGATTAAAATCACATCTGTACATTTATGATCTTAAACATCTAATAAATATATTAACTTATTTTATGAGTAAGCCCAATAAATAAAGTTACTATAAATAAATAAATAAAATAAAATAAGTTAAAATAAATAAATAAATAAAATAAGTTACTCAGGATGTGGAGGCAGGAGGATCATTTGAGTCCAAACCCAGAAGTTCGAGACCAGCCTAGGCAGCATAGCGAGACCCTGTCTCTTAAAGCAGAATTTTAAAAATGAAGCCATTGAAGTTCTAAATTATGCTTAGTAAAGTTATGCCAACAAGAAAGGAAGGGAAAGAGCTAGGGCTGCAGTGGCAGAGCATATAGCCAGCAGGCTTTTGACAAGAAAGGGGGTTTCAGTTGACTGAGAAGTTCCCATGAGAAGAGCAGGATAAAGTGAAGAGAACAGAGAAGCCTTAAAACAAAGAGCCCAGGGAGAACTAGCCTGAGACGAGTACAGAGAGGCTCAAAACCAAAACTGGGAAGAAGAGTTCCAGCACAATGAGTTCCTTCCAAACAAAGAAGCCTTAGATTCTAACCTAGCTTCAGAGAGCACAGTCATTCAAAATGTGACTGAAATTATAAGCCTTTTTATGGCTTACCCATGGATGCAATAGGTGTTCCCAAAAAGTGTGCAGAAGATGGAGCCCCTGATCCGAAGTCATTCCCAAAGATATCCAAAGAGAGAAGAAGTAAAAATCTTTTTCGCTGCAGGAAATAAGAATAGTGTTTGTCAATTCCAGATCAACGCAGATTCAGTTAAAAGAAAAAAAAAGAATGGTGTTTGTGAAAACTTGTGTCTGTGGCCTCCAACAAAAGTGAGATACTTTTGACACTGGGTAGGTGATGCTGAAATGGGATTTCCTAGTACTAGCAAGGCAGCAAGGAAAGAGATGACGCAGGCCCTTATGGACTGAGATCTTTTATTTAGACAGACTCCCTTGAGAGCTGGCATGGTCCATAGGAAAATATCACAGGCCCCCAGGCCACTGGCTGCTTGCCTGCAGACATAGACCCACTGACGGGTAGAAAACCAATAACAGAATGCAGTCACTGGATCCAAGCCAAGGTCTCAGGACACAAAATGAAACAAACAGGACACTGTCGCTATCCCTGAGAAGGAAAGGATCTATTATAAGAGTACTTGAACCAAGTGTGACGGTACCTAAAGAACTAGTTCCTAAAGTGTTTTCTTCTGTAAATCTAAATTTTGGAAAATCCCTTTTAGAAAAGGAAAGCAGAGCCTCTTAACATCCTTGCTCAGCTGGACCCAGAGATCTAGGGTCTGACAGGTAAAATGTTTATTTTCACTGGCTGGGTCATAGGTCCTGGGATGTCAGTTGCAGTTTTCAGAACAAGCAGAGAATCCCAACCATCCCAACCTCATTGACAAATCTGTTGGGAGGAAAACTTTCCCTCCTCCAATTTGGGTTTAGTTGTTGGGGACCTGCACGTTATCTGATAATAGGCAGGTTTATAGGAGAAAAGACAAGTTTATTTATGTGTTTCATGGGAGTGCTCAGTGATGAGTAATTCACTCAATGATCAGATAAAAGGTTTATACAGTAGTTCCCCCAATCCCCTGTGGATTAATAGGGGATTCCCCTATGTTCCAAGAGCCCAGTGGATGACCAAAACCACTGATAGTACTGAACCCTGGCCAAGGAACGCTAAGGTCACTTTTTCACTTAAAGGAAGCACTTTATGGCTTCTCTTTGGCATATCCAAGTTGCCAGCATCACTATTCTTGTGCTTTGGGAACATTACTAAGTAAAACAAAGGTTACTTTAACACAGGCACTGTGACACTGAAATAATTGACCTGATAACTGAGAAGACTACTAAGTGACCTTGGGTAGCATATACAGCGTGGGTACCCAGAACAAAGGGAGGATTCATGTCCAGGTCAGGAAGGAGTGGGAGGGTGCAAGACTTCATCACACTACTCAGATTGGCACACAATTTAAAACTTATGAATTCTTTCTGGAATTTTCCAATTAATATTTTCAGTTCTTCACTGACCATAGGAAACTGAAATCAGGGAAAGCAAAACTGCAGATAAGGAGGAACTACTGTTTACCAACTTAAAATGGAGGAGAGGGATTTAGGGCTTCAATCGGAAGGTATAGATGGTTCTGTTGGCCTTTTTGCTGCCAATGGCAATGGGCAGACTGTCTCTATGGCAGCTGAATTCCACGAAACTCCCATGGAGAGAGGGTTAGTGACAGCTGGGTTTTCCAGAGGGAATTTGGATAAGGGAAGTTCAGGTAGTATTTCTTTCTGCGGCTGGGCACAGTGGCTTACCTCTGTAATCCCAGCACTTCGGGAGGTGGAGGCGGGTAGACAGGTTGAGGCCAGGAGTTCAAGACCAGCCTAGCAAATGTGGCAAAACTTTATCTCTACTAAAAATACAAAAATTAGGCATGGTGGCGCGTGCCTGTAGTCCTAGCTACTTGGGATGCTGAGGTACAAGAATCACTTGAACCTGGGAGATGGAGATTGCGGTGAGCCGACATTGCGCCACAGCACTCTAGCCTGGGCGACAGAACAAGACTCTGTCTCAAAAAAAAAAAAAAAAAAAAACTTTCTGCATCTTCAGTTCAAATTACTTTTATTTTAAAATAATCTTTATTCCAGGCCGGGCGCGGTGGCTCAAGCCTGTAATCCCAGCACTTTGGGAGGCCGAGACGGGCGGATCACGAGGTCAGGAGATCGAGACCATCCTGGCTAACACGGTGAAACCCCGTCTCTACTAAAAAACACAAAAAACTAGCCGGGCGAGGTGGCGGGCGCCTGTAGTCCCAGCTACTCGGGAGGCTGAGGCAGGAGAATGGCGTGAACCCGGGAGGCGGAGCTTGCAGTGAGCTGAGATCCGGCCACTGCACTCCAGCCCGGGCGGCAGAGACTCCGTCTCAAAAAAAAAAAATAAAAAAAAATAATAATAATCTTTATTCCAACTCTGTGGATCTAAGTAGGTCCCCTAATATTGAAATCTTTCTAAAATATATTAAAACTCTTACCTGGAACTTTCATTATTTTAACAGCTTTATTGCTGTATAATGGGGATACAGTAAACTGTACATTTTTTTTTTTTTGAGATGGAGTCTGGCCCTGTCACCCAGGCTGGAGTGCAGTGGCCGGATCTCAGCTCACTGCAAGCTCCGCCTCCTGGGTTCACGCTATTCTCCTGCCTCAGCCTCCGGAATAGCTTGGACTACAGGTACCCGCCACCTCGCCCGGCTAGTTTTTTGTATTTTTTAGTAGAGACGGGGTTTCACCGTGTTAGCCAGGATGGTCTCGATCTCCTGACCTCGTAATCCACCCGTCTCGGCCTCCCAAAGTGCTGGGATTACAGGCTTGAGCCACCGTGCCTGGCCTAAACTGTACATATTTAAAGCATATAATTTGATAAAGGGACATATGAATGTACCCACAAAACTATTAACATGATAGCAAACATGTCTGTCACTACTGGAAATTCTTCCAGTGTCCCTTTAAAAATTTCTCCTCCTGCTTCTCCCAAAACCATCCCTGTCAGGAAACCAGTGATCTTTTTGTCACTATAGATTTGTTTACTTATTCTACAGTTTTTTATAAATGAAATCGTACAAAATTTTTTTTTTTTTTTTTTTTTTGAGACGGAGTCTCGCTGTGTCGCCCAGGCTGGAGTGCAGTGGCCGGATCTCAGCTCACTGCAAGCTCTGCCTCCCGGGTTTTTACGCCATTCTCCTGCCTCAGCCTCCCGAGTAGCCGGGACTACAGGCGCCTGCCACCTCGCCCGGCTTTTTTTTTGTATTTTTTAGTAGAGACGGGGTTTCACCGTGTTAGCCAGGATGGTCTCGAACTCCTGACCTCGTGATCCGCCCGTCTCGGCCTCCCAAAGTGCTGGGATTACAGGCTTAGCCACCGCGCCCGGCCAATCGTACAAAATTCTTTTTTGGTCTAGCTACCTTCACTCAGCATAATTATTCTTGATATTCATTCATGTTTCTTCTATCAATAGTTCATTCCTTTTTCTTGCTGAGCATTAGT